GGGAAGTCCTTTGAGACAGTCGGGCTATTCAAATAAACCTATCTTGATGAATGTTCAGTGGAGAATAGGCTCTACCTGTAAAGACTAATAAGAGCTCAAAGTTGTCTGAAGGTTTTCCACTTTAATTGTCAAAAACAGCAGCTGCTTTTCCCGAACTCTCTTCAGTTAAACACGGTCTAGTATTTCATTTTCCATGGATACAGTTAATCTGAATCCCATCATGGATAAGCAGCACGCTCATTGTTTCATCTATCCAACGCCAGCTCTAGTAATCTTGTTTATTTTCTTCATCGGTCTGTCATGCAATCTGTTCAAACCAGAGAAATCTGTTCAATACTTTTATTTAGCTTTTTGCTATTTGATAAATCAGGTTGTTTATGATTGTGGAGAATTGATGTGGTGAAATGATATCTTTGCAGTTGTGTCACAAATCTCATAGTTACCATAGGAAGGAAAGTGCACACATATTCTGGCAAATAACATAAAGGAAGGAGGGGAAAGCTGCACACTCATAAATCAGATACAGCCTTTGTATCTAAAATCATATTAACAAATGTTTCAGCTCATAGAGGGCTTCTGCAGAAAATGTATCCTGGATTCATCTGAATGACTGGAGCATCACAATATATCACAAAGTGGTATCAACACTGCTCAAAAATGTGTCGGAACAAAAACTGAACATCATCACCTTCATAAAAGACGCATTTGTTTTGTGGCTGTTGCATTAAAATGAAGGAATGTTACACAGCTGTACCTAATACATTGGACTGTAAGTCTACCCATCTGTCTTTTTTAAGGAGAAAAATGTAATATTTGGAGTAAATAGATTGAGAAGTTCAGCTAAAAATCCTACAGGACAAATTATCAGTTGGGTTTGAACCCACAAACAAACAAAACTTCAATAATTCCAGTGATTCTCTATATTGTACATTTATCTTTATGTGCTACTCTTAGCTCCTTCTTTACTTGACCACAAGTATTGTACGTGTAACTTGGACATGTACTGTATATATATTGTAGACTTTTGACTGAGTTTTAATGTCACCATTTCTATGATCTTGTTGAACGACCTTTGAGTCAGATGATTCCTGGCTTTTATCCAGAAAGAACAAGATGATATGTGCCGTAATAATGACTCATCAATGTCCTCCAACACACCAAATATCTTCATATTGTTTTTCAAAACCAAATAGCGGGGAATACTGAAACAAGTTCTTAGAAGAAACAGATGCAAGACCGTGATTTTGTGTTTCATCAGTCAAATCAGCCACAACTGGACATACAATATAGGCTAATGAGAAAGTCAATGAACATAGGAATTCATTAATAATGAAATACAAGTTTGAATCATTGAAATTCTAATAAATTACAATGAGTGTGTGAGTTCATTTTAAACTGAAAACAGTAGGTGTGCTGTGGGTGTAGGTCATCTAATTAACATAATGACAAAAGCTAATGCCTTAAATCTCCTGCATGTAGAATATTGAGATCAATATCTCAAATTACTTTGACAGCACAGTCTAATGATCACGATAAATACATATAAAGCATCCACTGCTCTCTGCTTTCAGAGACAATTTGGCACAAAAGCCAGTGTTACAAGAAAAAAGAAAGAGGCTCAATCAAAACATAAAACACAAAAGGTAGAGACGGAGACGGCCTCAACTTGCAGCACAAAGAGAGCAGGAGATAGCACTAAGTCATGTTTCTGAATCCCCAGCTGTCATGTTTTTGATGGTATCTTCCAGTAAATTCTTATCTCTGCTGCTCCTTATGAGACTTTTAATACACAAGGAGTTCCATCGTTGAGAGCACTTTTCAGAGAAAACATTAGGGAGAAAATGACAACAGAAGGCACAGAAGTCTTTCATGATGATTTACAATACCTCAAGAGAGAATATGAGTGAGAGAGAATTTTCTTTCAGGGATTCTGTTTTTTTTTTTTTTACGTGAGTGTTTTTAAAGTAATAGTCTTTGTCATCAGCCCCTCTTCCAAGCACGGCACTGAAACCACACCAAAGAACTGGGTGAGCTTTTAACATCTCTAAATGTCTGGAACAAAAAGATGAAGTACCAAAATACTCCACTGTCCATGGGTCACATTAATTAATGGGGTAATGTCGCTCTCATTTCTGTCTGAAACACTTTCATGTGAAGTTTACTCTTTAACATGACGGATAAAAAGCTGTTTCAAGTTTCAGACTGAGTTGAGAGTTCAGTTTGAATCTGATTTTAGAGTTCTCACATTAAAGCTACAAGGAAGTTTCATTTTGTGGTGATTTTACATTATTCTAATCATAATCATAATTAGAGCTTAATCAGATTCCTGTCGACACCATCAGAACAAATTGGCTTAAGAACGATTATAAAGATGAAAATAAGTCAAATAGATACTTGTTTTGGTTTACTTTCTATTTTGGGTTCAGTCCAAGTTGTTCTCCTGGGAAGAGCAGTTCTCAGGGGATTCATCTTTGAATACACAATGTTTACTAGTTTACTATTAAACAGAAGGCGAGCCTTCTGTCGAATAACTCCAGCAGTAGTATTTTCTCAACTACTTCCCCTGTGGGGATCAATAAAGGCTTGTCTTATCTTAAAATATTACTTCAATGGAAACACACACAGGTAACCAACAAGAGATGGTAAGTTCTAAGTGCTTGAAACAGGTCTTATGTAATGATGTTAATGTTTTCTTTTGTTGGATTGCTAGATCTGGTGTATTGTGCATAACAATAAAGCCATTGTTGCCGGCTATTTGTGAGGCCATCTGCCAGAAATTTCGGCTGAATATTTGGTGATATCTTTGATGAACAGGTTCGTGATGGTGAATTTCCCTCAATATTTAAGAAACAAAATGTTGTCATCTGAGGAAACGCATTCAACTCTACTCTGTGTCTTGTGATATTTCTTTCGATGAGTTTCTGGAGCTATTTATCGGTTTAGGGAATTTCGTTTCATATATGAAAGCAAAATCCAATAAAATGGTAAAATGTGGTGTTTTTAAAGACAATTACCTGTTTATGTTATTTTAACGGCTCATTTAGGACAAACTGATGACAGACATTTATTATTCTACTAAATCTCATGTACAGTATCTTTCACCTCTGTCTTTGAGCTTCCTTCCTTCCAAATGCCAGACAGATATACGTATGTCTGTACCCAATTAAAGCAAGAATAATGGTGGGAATACTGTGTGTACATGCCCCAGTACCAGCCAATCCCAGTGCTTACATTTGGGTTATATAGAACTTGGAGTGTTTATCTGAATATGAAATTATGTTAAAATGCACCAACAAAAAGCAGAAAAACCCCATTAACTGAAATATGAATCTAAATGAAGTACAGTGTGATTTGGACTTATTGTCTGTCGAAATGAAAAGCAAACAGGTAGTAAAACTAAGGATGAACACACTGTTACCTTGAGTGCATGTGAGTCTGTGTATGTGTGTCCATTTGTGTGAGCTGGAGAGCCAACAGGACAGATCTGGGACACTCAGCCATCAGTAGCGAAGCAGCAGAAAACTAAAACCAGGGCAGCCACTGATCCACTGAGAAACATTTCCATATGTGACAGGTTGTCCGCCTTTAATTAAGCTCTCAGATCTTCTCCATATTTTATCATGGTCATTCATATTCGTCGACAATACAGCAGTGAATGTGGACAACATCGTCTCCTTTGGGGCCACACTTTACGCACACGAGGAAACTTCCAGGCCACTGAGTAACCGCAGTCAATGATACCAGAAAATGTGGGCCGGTGCTGCAATGAGCAGGAGGGAAGATTGGAAAGAGGATGAGTCAGGGGAGCCCACGAAATGCATTTAAATCTACTGTATTAAATCTTACAGTACTGATTTTCCACCTTATTTCCATGATTAGTCACAGTGATGACATGTTTTCAAAGCCCACAACACACCCTTCTGTCCTCTGTGCTGCCATGGCTACTTCTAGCGAACTAGTTGATCGGGTTGACTCCAAATAGTTGACCATTTAATCCGAGGAGTCGGATTTGGCCAATTTCATGTGGTAATGAAATAAAGAATCATTCATAAATAACAACATGGCTATTTCCAAATCAAAGAACAGGACTACATTGATTAACCAGAGCACTCACATACGAGCTAAGCACTATCAGAGCGCTGAATATATTACTCGCTGTAATCAGCTGGGGGAGGCGAGACAGTTCAAGTCGTATCTTTGTAAGAAGAAACTACAGAAAGAGTTCTCTCATTGCCTCTAGGTATACAGTTTTTTCAGTGTCGTACTATTTCATCGAAGCTGCTAGTGAAGCTTTTGGTCAGCCACAGCGGCTTCCTGTAATATAGCAACAGAACACATTATAGATTTTTGAATGGAAATCACCCATCATCACACTGGGACGGTCTAATGGCGTGTTCACGTCTCATGGGATCAATGGGACAGAGTCCCATGATAGAAACTTGCGAGCGTTCAAATCATTAAGTTGGTTGCATGATCACAGAGTTGGTCGTATGAGGATTAGAATCATTTTCCATGAGAAGCTTAAGACTAATAAATCAACTCTGGCTAGAATAATAACTTGTGATATTTTTTATATTTCAGTAGTATTAACGACTGAAAACAAGATGTATTCTATTTAACTGAGAAGACGATTCTCCGTATGTTTGCAGTGGAGGTTTTTAAGTTACATGACACTTCCGTGAGTTACAGACTGGACCATGATTGGCTTAGTCGTGATGGCTCGTACATGTGATTTAAAGTGAGCACAGAGAAACTTTCCCCCTTCAGCAGATTATTGTGAAAACAGCCTTTTAATGTCGGACTCTGCACCTGCAACATTCTGCACAGTGACGCTCAAACATCCAAGGGAATAAACAACAAGCAAAGTATATTTCAGTGAAGGAAAACTTTCTGTGTTATTCCCCCCCCGGAGCCTGGCACAAAGGTATATCATATAATAATATGAACATACTGCATGAATATAAACAGTAACATCATTATCAGGCAAACATTAGACTCACCCTCCTTTGATGTAATCCAGGAAGGTGTGCTCTGACTCCACATTGAATGACAACAAGGACACCTGTGGGAAAAAAGGTCCAAATACATTATCTCATGCTTGCTAATTAAGGAAAGCTAAATCTACCAATCTACACATTAACACTGACCTCTGAGCTAACCACCCACAAAATGACTTATCCACGCTGAATGGTTTTGACGCCGGGGCAGCATATTAGTATTACAATCACTGAGAGAACATCAGTGTGGCAGAGCACTGATGGATGATCAGTGTAATGGAAAACAGGCCACGGATTTTAATTACAGAGTCATCGCATACAGAGAGAGCAGCCAAAGTACTCAGGCAGTAACAAAAGCTCAGGCTCATCTATAAACATCCATCACTACTCTTCACTAATAGGACAGACAAGAGTCCCTTTATGCATTACTATGGACTTGGTTACTCAACCTGTTTCAGGCCACGAGACTGTTTTCTCATCTACTTAAATTCACTGTCTGGATCACAAGCCCCGAGACTGGAACAGAAACATTTAACAGAGCTGAACTGCCTCATACAATCCACTTAGAGAAAACTTCCTGATGAATACAAAAGCAAGGGAGGGTCGGGGGGGGGGTGCACCAGGAGCTTTGCTCTTATCTCAGAACTCACCGTCCCAGAGTTGATGTATCTCTTTTTCTTTATTTTCTTTTTGGCATTCACCACCTGGTATGAAGGCAGAGTAGAAAAGAAGGATGATGATAATACAAACTTGCAGCTCAATTATTTTTTATCCCCCCTTGGGCATGTAATAAAAACATCTTTGTCCTCCTACTCCATGTCTGTAAGGGTAATGGAGCATAGGGACTGAATCCAATAACTGTAGTAGGTGAGAATGAGATAGCATTGATCATGCCCCGCAGCAAGATACAGATTATTCAGGGGGATTTTTATAAGCACCTACACTGTGCTGTACATTTTACATGCACATTACCAAGCATGGGGATGGTGGGACGCATATGTCTGTCCCAACCATTAACTTGTGATAAATAATAATGATATGTAATGTAGGGAAAACAGACAAACGTGAGTGATAAGCAAGACAAGCTGATTACATGTGTAAGAAATGGCAAGAATTTTAAGAAGTTTAAAACATTTTTTATTTCAATGAAATAACTTTATCAACAGAATCCGAAGAAGTCGAAGTGTTCTTTGAGAGCGATAGTTGAGTCACTGTAGCGTCCAGTCTGCCCACCGACAAACATGAGCGTGTGAAGAAGTATGGCTTCCCTGAGTCTGTGTGCGTTTTGATAGTTTGTTTATTGGATTAAATCCAAAGTGGCAGAAATGAGAAAACAACTTCCTTTTTTGTTTCGTCCTCCCCACCACCAGCGGTTCAGGACATGGACCTTCAGTTAGCTCGACCTCAGCCAATGGTGTGAACCCCAACAGCGGGATCTGATCCCGGGAGACTGTCCCGACTCCCCACCGGATCAGCAAACTTTTTGTTACTGACGTTTCAAAGGTTAGATGCAGCGAGCCACAAGCGCACTGTGACTCTCAGCGCTGGGGTTTGTGCTGGCTGAATTTGGTCCGTCTCCCGGAACCGCCGCATGCTCTTCTCCGGACGGGGTGGTCTACTGTTTTCTACGTTTGTTACAAGCTCTCTTGGCTTTTTTTTTTGTAATATAAGAATAAATAAACAACTGTCTTACATGCCATAATTATATGAACTCAAGTATCTGTTGCAATTTCAGTTCGATTAGTCTGTTGTTTTTTCGGCTCAGAGGATGTGTTTTGTGCTATTGGGTTAGCCTTTGTGCTAACATTACTGGGTAAGCTTGCTGAGCAGCAGCTTTTACTCATTATCCGGCTCAGTGGGTGTGTTCGCTCATGAACGAGTTGACTTCTGGACTGAAGTAAATTTTAAGTTCAAGTGTATTTTTTTAGGCTCAAGTGTCTCAGAGTTTCAGCAGTTTAGTTGAATTTTAAGTATTCTTGCCCTGCTGTTAGTTAATAGTTGGCATTACACGTCGCCTCTTTAAATTAATGTCACTTTTGGAGCCTGCAGGCAGAAACATGTGCGCAACACTGAGCCGTCACAATCTAAAATCTCTACTGCTTATTCTATGGGTCTGCACACAAACATAAAGCTCAAGCCTGAAGGAAACTGTGATGTACAATAAAGTAAAAGGTATCCCACTCTCCCTCTCCCTTCCGTTCTGCCTCTGTGGTTTCTGATGCTACTCCTCAAGACAGATGATGGCTTATAGCACCGCAGTCATCACTGCCAGGTTCACATGATGTCATACAGACATCACCTTCAATTACACCAACCTCTGTTGGCATTAGCCTGCTGTCATCTCACATCACAGAGCTGATGTTTGCAGGCCCTGTTTCCTCTCAGGTTAAGCACACAGGAATCTGCCAAGAGTCGAACACCGCGACTGGTGACCTATTCAAATTATTTATTTGTCAACTGTGATAATGTGGCTTCATGTAGTTTTTGACCACATTTTGAAATTGATTCAAGTGCACTGACCTGGCAAAGAGTGGATGAAGAAACTGCTGCGTTTCATTTTCTAATTAGAATACAGAAAGGTTTGGTGAAGGGTAATGGATACACCTTCTTCTGCCATATCAGCAGTGTGAAAGGGCAACTCTGCATGCTACTCACTAATCTCTCTTTCTCATTCTGTCTCTCCTCACCTATCCCCATCTACTCACAGCCCACTCCCTCTTTTCACTGGCCCTGTTCTTTCCTTAAGCCACCTCCATGACTTATTCAGAGACTAATGTAACATGGCAAGTGTTTTAATGAGCAGGGACCAAAAGGAGTCCCCCCAGCACCCAATAGTACCCTCCCTTACCCTCCAAGGACCATCCAAAAAAAACTCTAATCACCAGCATAGTTCAGTTGTATTCTCCCCACAGAAACACCCTTCTTCATGTGGTCAGCTGCACCGCTTAACCTCTTCGATGCTTCATGCGGTGTAGGGTGAGGAGAGACAGTGGGGGCTGGCTGTTAATCTCAAATCGACACAACTCTGGCTCAAACAACCACAGCCTCTTAAAGTCATTACACTTTGGATAACAAGGCCTTGCTGGGCAAAAGGGTACACTGATTTGGTCTTAAATTGAAGTTGGTTTCTCACACTTGTTCAAAGAAATGGAGCCTAGGTTTGTTTTTTGCTTACAGCTCTGTCCAGCTGCAGTATGCAGTATAAAAAAGAAATCTTAGATGCAGAAATAGATATCAGGCTTTAGAATCAGGTAATAAAGAGGTCGGGTTGACATTGTGACTTAGTTTCAAGAGACCAAAGAGGAACATCAGGAAGAAATAAAATACAAGATTTAGGACAACATTCTGGACACATTCCTGAGATTTAAAAAAAAATGTTTTAAACAGAGGTCAGTTATGAACACCATCAGTATCGACTCTCTTTATCTCCACTCACCTCGTAGACGCTTGACTGGTTCTGACCTCGACATAGCTCTTTATAGCTGGTGGTGAGTTCACCGATGAAATCGTGGCTGGAGAAAAGAGACAAAACCTGCATGATATAATGTTCACTCAGATGCAGAAGGTACAACCCTGAGAGGTAGAAGATAAAAGTAGTCGGAGTAATTACACCACAACCACTGACGCACAGATGGAATCAAATCGTCAATTGTTAATGAAAAAGGAACAGCAAGTGAAAAGACAATATTGTGAATGAAAATGTAATTTATGGAGGAGTTAAAGGAGAAATATGTAGACAGTGAGCAAGACATGTGGAAGAATTTATAAATTCTATGAATTATCGCTGTCCTGTAAATGCTGTCTGTGTGTGCAACCATTACCTCCCGTCTCTGTCCCAGTCATACACCTCCACTTTGATTGTCCTGTAAAACACATCAAAGGAGAGGACAAAGTGTTGAGCACATGTATGTAGCATGTGAACCACCTCATGTCCTTGAGGGGAAACTTCCAAGAGAGCATTTCTGAAATGACCTTACAGAAAAAGCTTTTTAAACTCATTAATTGTTCGTGAAAGCTGAAATAAATCAATCAGAGAGAGCCTGCTCTGTGTTTGCAAATAAAATGTGTTTTTACATTCATCAGGTAATGACCAATCATTCAACCTAGACTGAGACCAATACCTATTCCACACAGCCGAGTTTCTGTCAGTCTTGTAGTCAAAAAATATTTTCAGATCTGGTTGCTAAACTGCCATCATGGATTTAATAATTTCTTTAGTTTGTGTTTCTCACAGAAGAGACTTTGAGGTTAGTTGCCAGAAGTTTGGGTAAAGCATTTCCCTGCACAAGCCAAAGATAGAAAACTAACCTCTTGGGAGGGAGCATATTTTGCAAGTTCCTGAAATAAGTTGGAAGGCAAGAATCCAAATAAGTAAGCCTGAGATAATTCACTCAGAAAGAGGAAATTGCTTCCTCTTTTATTCTTTATCTGATGGAAAGATCAATGGCTCCACCCATCAGCAGCTGTCAATCATGTGTCTCTGAGTCCAGGAGGAGGCAAGGTGCTGGAGGGCTCTGCCCTGTCATCCTGACCTGAACTCATTCTGTCTGTTGTGTTTCCCCTTTTATAACCAACGTGTGAGATCCATGTAGTGCAGAGAGAAATAAGGCAAGAATTGTGACAAAGCCTATCTTTACATAGCAAAAAGCTGTTTGCTGCTATATTAAAGTTATGAATGTCTTATAGAGAACCTTTAAATACTGAAACATACAACATCCAGAACAGAACAGATATTCAGATTTCAGAGTAAGTGTGAGAGAACGATCAAATCGTCCTTGTACTCTTGACTGAAAAACAAATGTGTTTTGACACTCAGGGAAGATAATTCCCCAATGATGCGTCAATCCCCCAATGATGCGTCTCGCAACTAATAGAAACCAAAAAAAGAAACCATTTTTATTGTCATATACACAAAATTTGCCTTCTGCATTTGAACCATCCCTGTATATAGGGATGGGTGGGCTGCCAATGACAGGTGCCCAGGGAGCTGGGGGTTCAGTGTCTTGCTCAGGGACACTACCACACGTGACACGTCCCAGTCGAGGATTGAACTGTTGACGCTGCGGTTACCAGACAACCCTCTTAACCCAGTGAGCCACGGTCGTCCCCTGATCATGATTATGGTTGTGAGCAGCATACTGGTGAAGATACAGAGAATTTGTTCCTGGATCAATCTAATTTCGGTTTCTGCACCCACTGCATGTTTTAGTGCAAATGGGAGAGATTGCACTCTCTGATTGCTATTAAAGCCAGATGATTACATGAGATTTGACAAATTCAAATGAGGCCAAAGACGTGACTCAGAGACCACGTAAACTAAACTGCCTTAGATTTACAGGTAAAAGATGGGCACGGAGGAAATCCGAGGAACAAAACATGAGGTGTTTGTGCACTGCAGCATCGGCCATCCTAGGACCCCTCTCTTCTGTCCCATCTGGTCCTTCTAGACATCTCGGATCTGGATCTTGTCCTCCAGAAGACTACGTCTCAACTCCTGTCTCTTCTAACTGTGTGAATGGTATCCTTGAGTTTTAACTCTTGAGTGTATGTGAAGTCTGTCCTTTTTCTAGATTTTTTTTGTGGTGCAATAATTTATCAAATATTATTATTCTGTTATCCCATGGTGTCATTTTGCTAACGTTATTTACAGGAAATGTCAGAGAGGCCCCAAAGTTGCTGAAGATTTATCTCGCCATCAAAATCCTCAAAGGGAGTCAGGCTTCTTTCATGCTTCCACTCCATCTGTCTGACCCAATTAGCTTCTCCAGGCAGGTGAGGAGAGACAGGATCGAAGTGAAGAACCTCAGTTGACACCCAGCGTGGTGGAGAGGGCGAGGTTTGACGACTTCTACACACTCTCATGGCTGCCTGGGTCTGCACACTTTCATGCTTATGCTCACACACATAGCAGGGCTCTGCTGCTGTTCTAGCCACCTGTCAACAACGACGTGTACAGACACTTTTAACCGTCTCTCTCTCTCTCTCTCTCTCTCTCTCTCTCTCTCTCTCTCTCTCGTATTATATTTTATTTTCCTGCCAAAACTCCTCCAGCTCCTCAGGTATCCCACAAGGCCTTTTGCTCTAAAGAGATTCAGATAAGATAGGTGATGCAACTGGAGCAGCCAAATGCAGGTTGTAATATTTCTCTCTTACAGCAGCAGATAAAATAAAGGTATGAAATCAATGGTGTCTAAATTTGACACATTAAACCATATTGAAAAGTATGTGTAAAGTGTGCAGAACAATTTATTGTACATCATCATTCATCTTACCTGTCATAGTCTCCGTTGCAGAGCGCTCTGACAGGGATGGAGAAGGGCTGCCACACAGGGTTCAGAGTGTTCTTCACCACTTCAGTCTTGTGGCAGATGGTGAACCTGGAGACGCAGGTCGATGGAGATTTAAAATCCTACAAGACAAATCTCGAAGAAAAACCAACCCAGTGATAAAATCTTTGCTTTCGAGACCATGCCTGAATGAATTTATCTCAATGCCGATGAGTTCAAGGGATTTAAATTTTTCACTTCCTCTTTGATCTCCACGCCCTCCTACCTGTCTTTGATAGGCTACAATGGAAGCTCACTGAGAAGAAAAGGCAGGAGACAAACTCACGTGCCATCCTCATTGCTTCTGTAGAAGACCATGAAGGGGTCCGACTTTCCAAAGAAGTCCTTTTTGTCTAGTTTGTTGGCACAGAATTGCATGGTGGCATAATCCTACAGACAAAGGAATATAACACACTCAGAGAAATGAAAAAACAAAAACTAAAGGACATTGCAAATCCATGCTTCTGCCTCTATTTGCCTCCTGTTGTTTATTTATACATGCTGTGTGCCAAGATATAAAAGCACTGAAGCACCAAATAAAAGCAAAGTGCTGACTGAATCCTAATTAGAGGAGAGTGAAACCAGCCAGTGGATGCTCGTTTCCAAAAAATCTGCAAATGCATTCAGTCATTACCATTTCTCTTATTGTGCTACTCCTGCATAACAACAGTGAATGGGATAAGTAGTATCAAATTGAAAATACCTTGTTATGCTGCATATAATCATAGTAACAGTATGAGAGACCATACGGAGGCACATAAATGGATTCTAAACCCTGCATATGGAAGAGGAGGAGGCTGCGTACAAAAAGGATGTGTGAGTGCAGCTAATGATACGTTAGAAAGGCTGGTATTACCATAATTATATTCATTTAGGCAGCATTTCAATGTGCGCTGCCATTACAAGGACAATGAACATGCCCTAAAATGGTCTTGGTTCCAGATAGTCTCCCTGTGGCCAAGATATTAGTCTGCGTTGTATAATAATGAAGCATAGCTGGCACAGTCTGGACAGGTAAACAATATCAACATCAAAAGAAACTCTGCAAAGTGTTCTTCGTAACTGACCGCTTTTACCTCAATGCTGTGTAAGACTTTTAAAAATGTTTTTAGCCCTTTAGCATACCGTAGATGCAAGTCGAGTGTCTAATTGTCATATTTTAAAGCATGAGATGTGATGCCAGAAGATATTTTGGGGCCTTCAACTGGCAGAAAGAAGAGCTGCTTTTACCCTGCTGGACTCCTGAGCTTTTAGATTTTAAAGTGCAGCTGTAAGACCTGAATCAGCATGGTCATGCACTGGGTTTCCATCGATTGCTTTGACCCAGATCAGTGTGATGTGCTATGCCTCACTAACCCCCATCACATCACTTAAAATGCCTTGGAGAGGACCCAGACCAGCCTCTGAGGCAAACGCTCAGAAAAAAATGGATGTCACTACATGGATTCTCTTAAAAATGTAGCTAATTTGATTATCACCATTTGTATAATGTCTAATTATACAATAATGTCTAATTGTCTAATCACACTTCATGTCTCCGTGCAACACTTCTGGAGATGTGAAGACGAAATTAAAGCAAAGAGCCGATTTAAACAGGTGACTAAATGAAGCAGGGCTGTTGTGTATTGTATTTTCTTTACCAACTGTCATTTTCAGTTAATTTCTGTGTTTCTACTGTACCACTTCTACAATATAGGTAGGGAATCATTTTTCAATTGTGTATCCCTGGATATGAATCAGCAAAGCTGCCATCCACTGTGCTTGAAGAAAGTCAAGCTCATCAGTAGAGTGGCACAAGAGAGTGGCACAAGAACAAGAACATCTAATTTGGCATGTTCCCATTGCGGCTTGTTTTGAGGATTTTAAGCTAGCTTAGGTCAGTCATCCAAACCCTTAAAAATAGAGGCATCCTATAACTGTCCTGCTTTACTCTGACACGGCCTCTGCAATTACACTATCATGGCAACACCGTGCCTTAAGCCTTCATTAGGCACGGATAACACATACCCACTTTGGTGCCTTGCGGTGTTCTCTCATTAAGTGTGGAAAAAAAGGCAGAACATTCATTTCAACCACTGAGGTTTCGGAGCAGCAGGGGAATACTGAGTGCAGTCTGTATCCTCTTTTCCATTTCCCTGTTCCCCAAAGATATCGCTGCATGGGTGAAGTGTTAGAGCAATGCACGCTGTCACTTTCAGAGAGTCAGACTGGTCTTTCAAAGGAATACGAAGCAATACCTGAAATGAGGTCTTGGGTGAAGGATTTCTATCAATGTGAGGAGCAGTTTTATATATACAAAAAAAATAAATACATCATACAATCCAAAAAGTGAATGGTAATTGGGCTTATTGATGAGGAATGGATGGATCATCTGAGTACAAGTGAATGGTGAGCTGGTGAGTAAATACTATACATACAGTCGGGAGAAAGACATGGAAGAACTGCAGTACATCTTCATATGACCTAAATCTAAATCATACTTGAACAGGCAGAAATGAAAACAATCTCTGGCATATGTAAAGTGTTGTGTGTTTTACTTAGATTTAAATCAGCCTGAGCTGCAGCTGGACTGTGAGGATGAACTGAGAGAGAGCCAGCTGCTGCTCAGCATGTTACATGTGCCAGAGTTAGCGGTAGCCAAGAGAAAGTCTTTGATCCACGCAGAGGCTGTCGCTATCTCTAATGATACCTGGCAAATCCACCACGAAGGTGAGCCAACCAACCTCGCGGATAACAATCCCTGTAGAACTTCCCCAGTCGAATCCCACTCTGCTGGTTTTAGTTTCCCCAAACAAGAGTTGCAGTGTTTTCCTCAGGCGAGGCAGCAACTCAGCTGCTGCCATTTATTGCTCACATGTGGATTATAGAATAAACACCATCCAGATGGATGGTAGCAATTCCAAACTGCTATAACTCACAGGTGTGGGACTTGTTCTCACAGCATGGTCTTCAGATTATTCAATTATAGTATGCATTTTCTCTCAGTTCCCTATTCTTTCTTCAAACGTGAGGTGTTTATTTTCAGGGTCAAAAATTCTGTGTAAACAGGGCAGGTCTGGAGTGACATGTCAAGTCTGTGTCTGTCTAATGGAGTCTGGGAGAAAGGAAATGGTAATTTGTACCAGTTATGATCATTTGCATTTATATTACAAAACCCTTCTTGAAGTGGTGCTTTGCAGTGATTATGCTAACTTTCATCATTGCAGAACCACTGCACCTGGTGACTCACAGCAGCCCCTCAATGACTGTGCTTGCTTCAATCCAGCAAGAACCAAATCAGTAATGTAAAGGCATGGCAGTTTTATTATAAGCATGGCTTATCTGTCTCACTCTAATCGGGGATTGTTTATCAGGAAATAAATGGTGCTATCCATAAAACGTCCTCAAAGTCAGGTGCAACAACTGTGAAACCACATGCTTTTTACTCAACATGCATGACTGGAAGTTACAAAGCTTTGAACCATTAGATGCCTACATGCGCTAGGATATCGTAAAACATCCACACAGTAGTTGCTGATCAATGGCTTGTTTATAGCCTCCGAGGGAGGGCAGTTGTTCTGGTCAATAAGTTTTGATACTTCTACTGGCAGCAGTATATTGAGATTACTATCTTCATTTAGCAGTGCAGAGAGAAAGCCAATGGGTATCAGTGGACACAGGTTATTAACACAGATTTATGGATTCCCACACAACACATCAGAGGAAAGGTCTGCTTCAGTGATGGGATTGAAAGCAAGCTCATTAAATAGGCATTCAAACTCATAGCATATTCACTATGTATACAATTTAAATTTGACAAACGTAATTGCAAAGAGACATGGCGTATCCTGCTGGTTTAATGGGGGCTGTTATGACATAATATATCTAACTGAAGCCAAGGCTATTAAACAAGCCACTTCACATATGCATTACGGGACGTACACAAAATGCCATTTCAAATTAGATCAGTGAACATTGCAAAACATTTATTATGAAACCCACATTGTGAGCAAATATATAAGGGTTAAAACAATTTAAACTTACTCTGCAGTTTCCCAGCTCCTCAGCAGACAGGATAATGGTCCCACATTTCTTCCCAGGTATGCCACTGTGAAAACAAATAGAAATCATTCCCTCTTACTGCAAATATTGTACACAGCACAATGATGAAGATCCACTCGATCACAATGTTTGTGGCTTAAATGGCATTGAGAGGCACCGTGTTGACTTTTGCATTTCCTACAAAGAGGTATGGTAAAGTTAAATCTGTGATTCAGGGATTCTATTACCACCAGAGAGTATACCAGACACCTAAATAATAATAATAACTAGAAAGATAATCGCTAATAAGGCTTTTCATGCAGTCACACTTTTCACTTGAGGTGATGATTGTAGAGGTGTATTTTACATAAACTTACAGCTTTAATCATAAAATTCCTTACATAATGTGACATTAGAGTGACAGTCTGACAGCTCTAACAAGCACATCATTTTTTTTCCACCACTGTGACCGAATCAAAGACCAGTTATAAATACAGGCTCTTGAGTTTATTAGTACAATGTGGAACAAAACTCCTCTTATCCCTGTTTGCCAGCGTTACACTGACAGTTTAAAGCTCCGCGGGTCTCCAGTTGTTTACCGCTGATTCCCGCTCCAGCAGATGATCAAGACGTATTGTAGCACAAGAGAGGTCCCTGTGTGTCTGCATTTCTATGCTTCACCTCTTCAGTAGCTTGCCAACCCAATGGTGCTAACAAAATAGAGACAGAGTTGCGCCAGAGGTTTTTTCTAAATGGTTTTGGGCTGTATTCTTTGAAGCGGAACAAAATGAGATTTTTTTTTCTATTCAATCCCTCCAACCCTCTGCATCCACTGAAGCTAAGAAGGCAGAGCCCATTCCACTCAACACAGAGCAAGACAGCATATCTACTTTCCCATCGTACAGAAGCACTCCGGCTGCTGACACTCCTGTCATCTTTCCGGATAAAGAAGGAAATTACAAGGGAATCCTGCTGTAGCTGGAGAGCAATCATTAGAAGGTCAGACTTGCTGCAGATCCTCATTAAGCTATGACAGCTCATCTGACTGCCAGTTATACTGGAATTCCAAACTGCTAAATGGGAGGCAGAATTTGACTACAGCCGCAGATGCTTGCAATAGCGCAAACCTGCGATGGCTGAACAGACAGTACTGGGTATGCCAGGGGACCTACAGTATTATGAGATATAGCGTGGCTTCCTTTTGCTTATCTATTTGTGAAGGAATTGCATGTAGTATTTTTAAGAAATGGTTCAGGGTGCTTCCATTAACCTTTACTGGCCTATCTCAGGTATCCCAGGCCCGTAATACAAGCAGTTTAATGCTCCGTAGTAGCAACAGTAGCCCTTTGAGTATCAACTTTGATCAACCGTAATATAGATCCACTGACCAAAAGCATACGATTGGAAATGCTGCGCACCCACCGGTGTGAGCAAGAAAACTTCCATAGCACACCTCATTCTCAAGCTCCACGAGGATTCATTTCAAGGTTAGATAAAATGTCCTTGAATAATTGATGTTCAAGTCGCCACTGTGCAGTTTATGATGCCTCAAAGAGCCAGTAAACCCCAAACCAATGAGGCCAGTAAACCCTGCACACTCCGCAGGTCAGGTTATCTCCCTCGGGTCACGATAATGACCGGTACTCTTTTCAAACTGGGAAATGAGATCTAGTGATAAAATACCAGCTCCAGATACGTTGGGATGCACCACCCTGATCTAATCTCTGCTGCTGAGATGAGAGCAGGTACCAAAAGGGCAATGGTCTTTTTAATTTAGGCATGCATTATTGAGTGCTGCATTTTCTCTGACAATGACTCATTAACTTGAAGAGCACATAAGCACTGACTGGATAAATACAGTTCCTGTTGCACAAGAGTTTCTTTTTATTCCAAAAACTGACTTTTTTTTCTGCTAGTTCTAACAGCGTCTGCACTGAAATGTGACTGCTGATGATATGAAGTGTCCTGTATCAAGAGGCCTCATTCACCCAGCGCTCATTCACTGACGGTTCCTCAGTGAGAAAACGCTTTGATGATGAAATTATGTGAAATGTGCTGCTGCTGCCATCCTTGCTGTACTATCTGCATGTGAACAAGGCCAACAGTCCGACGGCTGTGAGGAACTGACAGTAGTTAATCAGTCGGTCATGTAAATGTGTATTTGTCTCCACTGATTCTGCGCTGCTCAAACATTTGACTATTCAAATTACAACAGGCAAACACCATAAGGGTGTTTTGTGATGTTTAACAGCCAGGCAATCCCCAGCTAACCAACTCATGTCAACAAAACGATGTGACAGCTTCAGTGTTTGGGTTACATCATCAAGCGTATACACGTCTACATACAGCATAATGTGGAATTTGTGCCGTACGGCTGTGGATTATGGAAGAGGATCTCACTCAACCTAGGGGTCGGGACCCCCAAGGGGGTTGCAAGATTATTTCTGGAGTCGCCAGATGGTATTGGTGGAAAAAATGAAATAAAATTGAAAAGAAACATATTTTAGGTTCGGGGAATTTACATAACATCCCCTGTACCAGTGATGTAACTTGCCTCAGAAATATAGACGTTATTGAGAGACAAAGTGTGTATTTAAATGAGTTTCTGACGGGGATTCGCTGCTGGTCAGGGGGAGAGAAAAAGTCTCAGATCACATTAAAAAATCCACAGTGCTTTTAAAAAAATAAATAAAGCTGATCTATTACTGTTCATTTTTTGATAATTTGACTGGTTTGACAGTGGTACAGATTAGGTTGAATACTACCTGATCTACAGACATTCATGTTCCAATGATGAACCGTACGTGGGTTTCAATAATCATCTGCCATGCTCGCCTTCGCTTCCCTCTGCACTTATTACGTATTAATATTAATGCATTGCTTATGCTTATTACAAGCTTTAGTGACCCCCTGAGCTTTCCTTTACTTCCACTATGAGGCACAAAGTTCCACTTGAGCACATGAAACATCAAAGTCTAACAGGTATATTGCATGAAATTTACTAAGCAAATAAATGCTGCCCAATGCAGGATCCCTTTCCAATTTTGCATACACCTTGAACTTTCTTCAAATGTTTACCCACAACACCGGGCAGGCTCTAAGAAAAGCAAACTCAGTGGTATGTTGTACATTTCATCCAACACGTTTATACTTTCAGGGTCTCTATTTCATTAAGTCAAACAACAAGGAATTGAAACATGTTTCATTTTGTAAAGGGGAGACACCCCTGGTGAATGGGGGGGGGGAGGGTAATACATACCTTTCTGAAATTCTATGTATGAATATACAAATTAGGCATTATTCAATGCTAACTTTTAGTAAATTTAGGAGAAATACAGATGCAAATAGACAACATAATAAGATAAACACCTAAATGTGTATTTTGGATGGAAAAAAAAACATGTTATGCAGCCAAAATAGCCCCAAATCTCTAACTTGATCACGGCAGTGCATAAAAAAACGCATGTTTTTGCCCGTGATGTCGTGCCCTAAATCAAACACAGATCATTTTTTTCTCTGCACAGTGTGACATTAATGAGTGAAATAACTGCCCAGCACCCTCCAGTGCCGTGGAGCTACGCGGTGCACATCCACAAAGTCAAATAGAAGATAAATTAAATATCAAACATTACCTATATGATTGGTTAGAATTAAACATTCAATACCTCTAGTTTAAGGCTGCAGGACCCTTCCATCTCCTCACAGGCCTGACTAAGGTTGTTCGGGCTGAATAACTTAGAGCATTACCAACCTTCAGTTTATTTGAAGAATAAAATGTAATCATTTATGCTATTATATTACTTAATTTCTTTAAGAGTTCATGCAATTTACAGTTAAGAGGAACAATAGTAACCATTGTGCAGAAGCAATAATAAAAGCTAAATTCAGCATGTGAAGAGCAGACGGGTGCATAAGAGTTTTGATAAAGTGTTCTTGTTCAGAGAAGACTGATGACGGCTTTTTATCGTCCATGGCTTCTGTGCTTCCAGTGAATGTTTAATGGGATAAAATGAAGGCATTAATCCAGCATCTAAGGAATGCAGGTGAGCAGTGACTGTACTAACCGCAAGTAGCTGTAATACCGAACACCATTCACAGCTTTCTATAATTAATACGGTCAATTAAAAGCTTCCCTTGGCACTCAACAGACACCTTGCCATATGGGCCTGACCATTCAAATGCCACTTGGCGATGTGCACGTGTGTTGCCTGAACATCTCACTGTGGGCCTAATATTTACAGTCAAATTAGCATCATGTTAGGGAGAAAGACTACCTCCTCTGCTGTCCTTCCTATTCAACAGAAACCCAGAGGATCAAACAAAGCGTCAGAAAGACAACTAACAAGTAGAGACAGAAATGAAACATTGCTTTGTAGCAGAGTGCCCTCCTTTACACAGAAAGAAAGCTCACCCTGAAACAAGGAGCTGCCTTGCCAGATCCCCTGATTGATCAACTGAATGGAAAGAGATCAAGCAGCATATTTCGTCATCACTACAATTACTTGGCTAAAGTTTCTGATACTGCTGTTCTGCAGAATACCGATGAGAATATCTCTTTTCCATTGGAAAAACACATTTGAGTCATATATCAAAGATCATTGCACATGACATATTATAATATGGATGTCCAGGTTCAATGCATGGCCTCTGTAATTTCCCATCTAGAGGCAGTTGCTGTCGTGACATTCACAATTTCTGTATTCTCCATTACCTATCAGTGCGTAGGTGGGCTGGATGGAGGTTGGTGAGATTAAAGTCCGGAGAGGGACAAGGAAGCAATTGTTGATGCCGTTCACGTTAGGTCATTAGGATGAGGAATGGGCTTGATATTTAACTAACGCAGCAACGTGTCGTACATATGAGAGTGGGGGAGGGTTATCTGCCCGACAATATGAGTGAGAGCCCAGGAAGAAGATAAATATTTATTCCCACTGCAGCTGTTGCAGGGTGGGTCTACAATACATATTTTCCTACCAGACAAAATGACTGCAGTATTATCACGCTAAGAAGATCGTTACTTCACAGTTTCACACCTGGGGATAAGCAAATTAAAACATATTATTTGGG